TTGTTAAAATAAGCCAATGCTCCGTTAAAGAGAAGGGGATAAAACATCACTTCTGCCTTGGCCCCTGATTCTATAGAGCCAGGCTACATTTGTGGGCCAGCTTAATTTCTTCATAGGACCTTAAACTCAAAATTCCTCCAGGGAAAATGGCAGGGTCCCCAGGTCCACCACAACTGAGGGCAACAGGACCCCTCTCTTCACAGGGCTTTAGAAGCACCTAAGTCCTGCTCCTTTGCCCACCCATTCCCATAGACAAAACGAGTCTAATTCTCTCATAGATTCTAGGTCTGCTCATTTCCTAGGTCCTGCCTTTTCAGTCCCTATTAAGATATCTTGTTACATTCTGCCATTCCTGGACTGTGGTTCCAATCATGAACAGCTCTGAGAGAAGGGGACAGAGTCAATTTTAAGTGACTTAGAAACTCCTCTATGTACTTTTAAAATTATTTTTAAATGACATACATTGGACAAGACTTACTCTCTGGTGGGAATGGTGTGGAAAAGACACTGTAGAAAGCCTCCTAAGGTTTTCCCATTCCCTAGAGACTAAAGGCTTTCACTCAGGTGCGGTGGCGGGGCTCCAGGTTCTAGCTCCACCTTTACCTACGTCACTTCCTTTCACTCCTCCTTGTTTACTAAACCTGGCAGTCTTTGGGTGCTTTTGATAAAGCTTCTGTCTTTCCATACATACGTCCCATACATTATGCTACATTGTATCATATGACTGACCACACATTCTTCTCAGATAAACTGTAGGCGGCTTGGGGATGGAGCAGTTCCATTCATGTTTCTATCATCTCCTGTTCATAACACCATTTAAACCACTCTAAACAGAGTAGTAACCCTTAAAATATCATAAAAAGTATGTTTAATATGAGACACACTTCATGCACCTTTAAGCTAAAATGAGAGGCCCTATCTCCTTAATTCTACCCATTCGCCTGACCGAAAGCTCACCAGTGTCCTCTCTCCTCCTCCTCCTAGCGACCCTACCTACCAGCTGTGACACGTCACTTCCTTTACCAGCCTCTCAAGTGGACCCCAAGTCTGGGATGTCCCAAACCCCTCTCTTTTGACCCTGAATGACCTGTGGTCATTCTGCTACAGGACCCTACCCAGTTATATCACCCAAGCCCAATACCCACTTCCTCTCAAGAGCCTCAGGGGACTTAAGCCTATTATTTCTGACCTTCTAAGAAAAGAAAACTCCTTTGCCCCACTTCCTCTCCTTTTAACACCCTATACTTGCAGTTACAAAGCCCAGTGGAACCTACTGCCTGGTTCAAGTCCTCCAACTTCTCAGTTCTGCATTGGTTCCCCTCCACCCTGTTGTGGCTAATCCTATACCCTCCTCTCCACTCTCCCCTCAGGGACATCCCATTTCTCAGTCCCAGGTCTCAAGGATGCATTTTTCTCTATCCCCCTCAGATACCCAATCACAAAACATCTTTGCCTTCACCTGGACTGACCCTGACAGCCGCCTCTCTACCCAGCTTACCTGGACTGTCCTACCCCAGGGGTTCTGGGACAGCCCACACCTGTTTGACCAGGCCCTGGCCTCTGAGCTACTCTCCTCATTTCTACCTAAATCTAAACTTATACAGTATGTAGATGACCTTCTCCTCTGCAGTCCATCCCAACGAGTTAGCCCAACTAACACCTCTGCTCTTTTAAATTTCCTATCCAGCAGGGGCTATCAGGTCTCACCCTCCAAGATCCAATTGTCCACCTCTGAGGTCACTTACCTGGGACTAACAATAACCCCAATCCACAAGGGCATCACCCTAGATAGAAAATACCTAATACAGTCTCTGGCAGTTCCCTCCTTTACTAAAGAAGAAATTTTATCATTTCTGGGAATGGTCCTGGGTCCCCTCCTTTTCCCTTCTTGCCCACCCCTTAGGCCCTTTGCATGAACTCCTTCTTAAGCCATTACCAAGCCCTTTCGGGGACTCCAACAGGCCCTTCTTGAGGCCCAAGCCCTACATCTCACAGACCTAACCCGTCCCTTCTCCCTCTATGTAACAGAAAAAGAGGGATACGTCCTTGGAGCCCTGGGTCACCAAACGAGATCCTCCTTGCACCTGTAGCATACCTATCAAAAAATTAGACCTGACAATCCAGGGATGGGCACCCTGCATTCATGCTTTAGGAGCTGTGAAGCTCCTTATTCAAGAGTCCAAAAAACTAACTTTTGGGTTGCCTAATATTGTCTTCTCATTCCCATATTGTCTCACCTTCTAATGTATAAAAGCTTATGAACTCTACCTCATTGCACACACAATTCTGTGTGTCTATCCTGCTGTCTACTGTCATCTGCAAGGGTCAGAGGGGGCACCGGAGAGAAACTTGGAGCATCAGGCACAGTGTTGTCCAGGGAGCTGGGAGCAGAGACAAGTACTCGGGCCCAGCACTCAGCCAAGGCTTGGAAATACAGGACACAGGGATGGCTTCATATTAATTCGTTTTAATTAGTTAGTTTTATTTCATTGGTGGCTGTGTGGGAATGCGCACATGCGTGTAGGCACGTGCAGAGGCCCGAAGTGAATGTCAGGTGTTTGTGAGGGTGATGGGAACCAAATTCCCACCCTCTTCAAGAGCCATCTCTTCATCCCCACCCATTCATGCGAGCTGCACTTCCTGAGGAAGGGGGGGTTTGCAACAGCTGAGGTGAGCCAGAGAAGGAGTTCCCTTCTCTTTTGTACGCTGCTCTTGCAAAGAACCCACACGGGCAGCTCCCACTGCCCATCACTCCAGCTGTAGGGGATCTTCCTGTCTCCAAAGTCACCAGCACACAGTGCACAAGTAGACGGGAATGTGCGTTCACATGTGCAAGCACACACACGCAAAGGAAAAAACACAAAACAAAACAAATACTAACAAACGGGAGCAGGCTGAGGTGGGCCTCTGGCTCCCACTTGCAATGTGCACATTCTTGCTGTCTAGTGAGCTCCGGAGACGTGCCTGTGTCAACCTTCCAACCCCCAGGATTGCAATCCTGCACCACCACACCCAGCCTCTTTTGTAAATTCTGGGGCTTGACCTCAGGTCCTCGTGCTTGCTTGGCAAGCACTTTAAGGACGGAGCCATCTCTCTGTCTTCACCCATGGCCTTCTGATGGGACTGGTCAAGCAGGTTGGGGATGAGGGCCTCTCCCGGGTCCATGGTCTCCACTAGCTATGGGCTTCTGGTCCTGCAGGTTTGGCCTTACTCTGGGCCAGGGAGACCATTGTTTGATGAACAAAGAGTTCGGCATGGGTGACTCAGCAGGCTTCAACCTTTGAGTCTTAACATTTTACTTCTAAAGTGTGTCTTGGAGAAGCTGGGACAAGGGAACAGGAACACGGCTCATGTGGCCAGGTGTGGTAGCTCATGTATGTAATGCCAGCACTCAGGACATTAAGGCAGGGAGATTCTGAGTTCTAGGCCAGCCTGGGTTATACAGCTGAGACACTGCCTCAAAAGAGGTGAGCGTGGTAGGTCACATGCCTGCAATCCCAGCACCTCAGGAGGCAGGTGCAGGAGAATCAAATCAAGTTCAAGGCCAGCCTGGGTTACAAAAAGAGACCTTGTCAACTGGAGCTCAGGAGCTGACTCAGTTGGTACTGAAAGACTCAGACTAGCCCTGTACCCTATATTTTTAAATTATAGGCCCACGTCAAACTAAAGTCTCCCAGTACTCTTCCAGAGAAAGGAGAATGTGACAGCCCTGCTTCTCAGAGAGACCACAGGATGAGCAAATTGCTTTTCCCACCTTTAACAATGGCCTAGTCTGACCACAAAATGTACTAATCCTTTTCCCACCTTTAACAGTAGCTGAATCTGCACGTATCAAAAAGATCAGATATCCTCCAGACGTCTGGGACAAAGCTAGGGCAAAGCTGACTAGACCTGGTGCCCCAAATAGATCCTATATCCGCTCCCACGCTGTCAGACCTGTGACCCCCTCGTCTACCCCTTTAAAACCCCGAGGCTTCCGAGTCGATGCTGACTCTAGCCTGAATGCAGAGTTAGCCTCAGCGCAAGTTGGTATGAATAAACCTCTTCTTAATTGCATCGTCCGGCCTCCGAGTTTCCTTCGCAGGAAACCTCTTCAGTAGTTAGGCTCCCTGCTGGGCCTAACAATATCTTTGGAGCAGTGGGACCTGAGTTTGGCACCCAGCACCTATGTAACTAGCCAGGCCCAGCAGCCTGTGTTTGCCATCCCAGGGCTGGAGAAACAGCAGGATTCCTACGGCTCAGCGGCCAGATAGCCGAGAGGGACTGGTGAAGTCCACGTTCACTGACAGACCCGACTCGATAAAGAAAGTGCAGTTGGTGTGGTGGATTGAAAGAAAATGGCCAGCATAGGCCCATAGGGAGTGGCCCTAGTTAGGGGGTGTGGCCTCAGTGTCATAGGTGTGCCCTTGTTTGAGGAAATGTGTCGTTGGGGATGGGCTCTGATGCCTCAGATGCTCAAGCCTGGCCAGTGCGTCACTGTCTCTTCCTGCTGCTGTAGAACTCTCAGCTCCTCTCCAGGACCTGTCTGCCTGCATGACACCAAGCTTCCCACCACGACGACAATGGGCAAACCCCTCAACTGTAGGCCAGCCCAGTTAAGCACATTCCTCTATAAGAGTTGCTGCGGTCATGGTGTCTCTTCACAGCAATTTAAAAACCCTCAGACAGACGGATCGATGGCTCAGGGGTTAAGAACACTTGCTGCTCTTGCAGAGGGCCTGAGTTCAGTTCCCGGCACCCACACAGTAGCTAACACCTGTGACTATAACTCCAGTTCCGGAGACTGTGACGCCCTCTTCTGTCTTCCACGGGCACCAGGCGAATGTGGTGTAAACACACACATGCAGGCAAAACACTCATCCATATAAAAAATTAGAAAAAAAAAAAAAAGGCGGTAAGATGGGTTTCTACACACACACACGAACACACACACATACGGACACACAAAGAGAAAAATGGCAGGGGTGGGGGGAGATGAACCCAGGTATGTGCGAGGTAAGTCCAAAGATGTTAGGGGTATTTATTTATGACAAGGACTGGCTAGTCCAAGGTTCGTGCTGAGAACATTTTCCGCCAGGCAGAGCCCGGGTCAAGCTCAACAGCTTGGCCCCCAGAGGAGGCCCCGGAACCCCTCAGGAGCCGCCCGCGTGGTGGGCGCGGTATCGTCTCATGCGCACTTGCTCCGCTGGGCTGGGTACAGGAGTGCTCCCGACGCTTCCAGGGTTCGGGGAGAGCAATGAGAGAGAGGGGTCAGTGAAGGCCTCAGCTCTGCCTCCGCTTTCACGCGGGTTGCAGGGGTCTAACTAACGGGGGGGGGGGGGTTTAGACGGGTAACGGAGCTCTCTCATGAGCACAGGCCAGCTCGGTCCCCACCTCTGGAGAACCGCAGTGGGCTAGATAAGATGTTTTGAATTATTACTGTCGTTGTTGTTATGGGGGGCGGTCCACGAGTGTCACGGAGCACACGTGGGCCAGTGAGATGGCTCCGTGGGCAAAGGTGCTCGCTGCCGAGCCTGAGCGCTCGATTGGATCTCTGAGTCCCACGTGGTGGAAGGAGAGAACCAACCCCAGAAAGCTGTCCTCTCAATTCCACGTGAGTGCTGTGGTGCATGCATGCCCACACACAAAAGAAATAACTCAGGTGAAACATTGAAAAAAAACTTTACAGTTCAGCTCCTCCTTCCCTGGCCTTTCGTGAATTTTTCTGTCTGTTTGTTTTGTTCTTTTGAGACAAGGTTTCATTGTGCAGCTTAGCTGGCTTGGAACTTGCTTTATAGACCAGGCTGGTCTTGAATTCATAGGGATCTTCTGCCGCTGCCTCCCTGATGCTGGATTAAAGGCGTGTGTCATAGATAGGGTCTCATTTAACCCAGGTGGGCCTTCAACGCCTTATGTGCCAGAGGATGGCTTTGAACTCCTGATCCTCCTGCCTCTACCTCCTAAGTGCAGGAATTACAGATGTGCAGCACCATGCACATCTGTTTTAAGCAGTGCTGGGAGAGCGTCTGTGCACGCTACAGGCAAACACTCTGCCAACCGAGCCGCACCCCCAGCCCAGGAAGGGACACTTTGGCTATCAAACTATAAAACAGCGGATCCCAAGACATTCTTCAGGAATCTCCTGCTGGGAAAAAAAAATGGCTGAAGCCCCATGCCAGCCAAAGATGGTGGTCAGTGATGGCACACCTTCCCCAGGATTGCTTGGCTATGCCTCTTTCTTACCCTCCATTTAAACCTAAACCGTATGTCCAGACCTTGTCAGGATCCCAAAGACAGACTTAGCAAGTCACTGGGTCTGTAACCGTTGCCCATGTAGTCTAATTGAATATATCTCCTTTCCCTGCCTTTGACTAGTTTTTATTTCTTTTATTCTATTACTTTGAATTGTGTGTATGTGTGTTTGCACATGAGTGTGGAGGTCAGAGGCGTTGGATTCCTCTGGAGCTGGAGTTACAGGTGTTGTGAGCTGTGGGACATGGGTGCCAGGAACTGAGCTCTGGCTCTCTAAGCGTGGTTCATGCTCCTAACCACTGAGCCCTCTTTCCAACTCCTGTCTGTTTAATTGGCTCATCCACCATAAACGGTTGAGCCTAGCCCGTTAGGGCTTCGAGCCCCCAGGCTTTGACCCTAACAGCTCAGGCAATGCCCCGTAAATGCTTGCCCCACCCTAAACCCAGGGATCATCTAAACGGTGGGGCTCAATCTTTGCTGCCACCCTTTAATACAGTTCTTCATGTTGTAGTGACCCCCAGCCACAAAATTATTTTTGTTGTGAACTGGAGAGATGTCTTCAGGGTTAAGAGTACTGGCTGTTCTTCCAGAGGACACAGGTTCAATTCCCAGCCCCCACATGGCAGCTCAACACTAACTCCATTCCAGGGAGCCCGACACCCTCAAACATGCATGCAATACACATAAAATAAAAATAAATGTTAAAAATATTTCCATTGCTACTTCCTAACTGTAATTTCGCTACCGTTATGAACCGTAGTGTAAATATCCGATATACAGGCTACCTGATATGTGACCTCCGTGAAAGAGCCATTCGCCCGGGAGGAGGTCTCGGCCCACGGGTGGAGAACCGCTGCTCTAAATGTAATCGCCTAGTCTCCCTTGGTCGACTCCACTGCTGGTTCCCAGCGGCCTGTGTTCCTCTGCTGGACACCTGGGCTCCCTGCTCACGCCTGCTGGCATTACTGCTTTCTCCAGAAGCCGGCCCCAGTACCTCCCCGCTTTCCGCCTCTCCTTCATGGAGATGCCTCTCCAGGTCCACCCAGTCGTTGGGTGTCTTTTCCTTTGGGAAGTTTTGTGCCAGCCCCCAGTACTTCGGCCCTTCCGTAGATGTGAAAGCAAAGACTTTCAGCCCGCTGAACTTTCGGTTCACCTTTCTAGCCACGCCTCGCTGTTGGAAACGTTTCCTGACTAGCTGCTTGCAATTCCCGCTACTGCCGCAGGGGGGCAAGCAGCGTCCGCAGGGAAGCCAAGCCTTTGCTGGTGACCCCGCCCAGCCTTCAGGGGAGCAGACTTCATCAGAGGGCAGCAGGAAGCCACCAAGGCCCCCGCTGGGAGGCAAGACAGCACCACCTATGCACTTACCAAGCGGATATGACCAGCGCGAGGAAAACCACTAGCAGGATGGCCAGTAGAATGGACAAAAAGGCAATGATGACCACAGTACCCTTGCTCTGGGACCCTGGGGCTCCTTGGAATGCCCGGGCTGCACAGGCAAGCAGGAAAGAAGTTATTTAACGGAAAAGGGGCCCTTTGGGCAGCTTCCAGACCAACCATCCTACCCCCAAGCTGGGGTCACGTGAGAATCGAAGGACAGACTAGAGGAGGGGTACATGCAGAGGACAGGGAGTTGCTGCGCTACCCCGCTGGGCGAGACCTACTTTCCTCAGTGCCCTGCCGTCCCCAGGCCCCTTAGCGCACCCCCCCCATCTTTTGAGCTGCCCTTGTGTTCTCACACCTTGCTGCAGGTAGATGTCCTTGGACCACTTCGTCTCAGCCACAGGTCCCTTGGCACTCATGGCCAGGAACTTCACCCTGGACGGGAGAGCAGCTTTGGTGGCGGCGACTCCCCGAGCTTCTGAAACCCTCAGACTTGGTGCCTGGGAGCCTGTCCTCCGGAGAGGGCAGCCCCGGGTGGTAGCTGGGGACGCGGACTAGGGAGCACAGCTGCAGAGCCTGTCTATTCCAGCTGTGTGATTCGCAGTGGGCGGCCGCTTTCACTGCACCTCGATGTGTGTGGGCTGGACCCTCCCCGCCAAACACGAGTAAATCACATCCTAGTGAGAAATGGCAGGGCACTGAGGCACCCGTGGGTGCCTGCTCTGGATTAGAAACAATCCACATACACTGTCAGGACTCCCCACGGCATGCGGGGGCCTGAGTCAGGGGAACTGTAAGGAGGCTGGAGAGGTGGCTCGTCGATTAAGAGGAAATGCTGCACCCATGTCATGCAGGTCACCTGCATGTCAATTTAGCTCCTGGGGACCAGACATGTGTGGCTGCTGAGGAACCCCACTTCATGTGAACAAACCTACATGCAGACAGGCAAACGCAGTTAAAAATAAAATACATCTCTAAAAAAAAAAAAAAAAGAAAAAAGAAAAGAAAAAGGAAAGAAAAGAAGAGGGCTCGGTGCTTAGGAGCACTCGACGTCATTGCAAATGACCAAAGTTCGATTCCCAGCATCCACATGAAGGCTCGCCACTTCCTGTGATGGGCACCAGGCACGCATGCAGTGCACGGACCGACCATGTAAGCAAAACCCCCATGCCATAAAATACCAAAAGAAACCTTAAAAAGGAAGAGCGATGCAAGGACCAGCCTACATCCCCCGTGAGAGGGTGGGTATTCCAGAGCCTGCTCCTGGCCCCAGGTCCCATCTCTAGCACCTACACCACAAACATAAACAAGGAAGAAAGGCAGGAAGGAAGGAAGGGGAGAAAGAAAGAAAGAAAGAAAGAAAGAAAGAAAGAAAGAAAGAAAGAAAGAAAGAAAGAAAGAAAGAAAGAAAAGAAAGAAAGAAAGACGGACGAACTGGGGAGGCCAAGCACCCCGCTTGTCCCGGGTGAAGCACCCAGCGCTGCCCTGGGCCCCACCCCATCTTTGCTGCTCACCTGTAGGGCCCAGCCCCCGGCAGAGGCGCGTTACAGCTGAGGGACTCCAAGGAGCAGTTGTTATCATTGCCAACACGAAGAACTCGGAGTCGGCTGGCAGGCTGGCCACCCTCGTAGTGTACCCGGCTGGCCCTCAGTGTAAGGTAGTAGCCATTGCGGTCAAAGTTGGCAGGCGTGTGTGTGTCCAAGACCTTCTGTGGGGCGGCAAAGCTCTGGGTGGCTGAGAGTGGCAATAAGGGTCAGCCAGCGTGGCTCACGTGGGGAGGCCCATGAGAGTTCCATCCTATCAGGCTTGACAGCCTTTCCCAGCCACCCCCAAAGCAGCTAGCCCCCAACACCCAGGTCTGCTATAGCTCTCAGACGCCAGCCCTGTGCCCACTTCACAGTAAGAAAGCAAACGTACGCACCGTCGCTGTGAGCCACCACCAGCCAGATGGCGTCCAGGTCAGAGAGGCTGACATTCTTGAACTGGCCCAGGGGCTGCTCCAGCGTGAAAGTAGACTGTGTGAGTCTCCCCGCCAGGGTGTCGTTGGAGACCTGGGGGACATAGCTTATGCTCTCTGGGAAAGATGGGAAGAGAGGGCAAAGGGAGAAGCTGAGTAAACAATCCAGTTTCAACCGAGAGAGAACTCGTCTGTCTCCAAAGCCCTAGACCAAAAGAGGAGCTAAGAAATCACTTTTAATTAACTCTGTGTGTCTGTGTGTGTGCATGTGTGTGTGTATGTACCCATCTGTGCCATGGGTCAAAGGACAATCTTCAGGAGTTGGTTCTGGGGCTCAAACTCTGATCATCAGGTTGACAGAAAGTGTCTTTACCAGCTGAGCCATCTTACCAGATCCAAAATTAAGGACTCTTTTTGGGGAGGAGTCCTTGGGGGGCTGCGGAATGCCCAGACCCTCTCTTGATAGCCTACAGCCCAGAGGGTGGGGTGATACTGTGTTACTGGGGTGATGGACAAGAAATGGCAGGTGGACAGAGAGGGCTCAGGAGGCTCAAATTTGGGGCATCCAGGACCCTAGGCTGGGCTTGCCCAGAAAGCCTGAGCATCCCTCCTGCTCAAGCCGAGTGGGCCAGGCTCTTCTTGTTGGATGGGAATGAACAGGAGCTAGGGAGATGACTGCAGCGAATCGCTTCCCTCCCACATGAGGACAGGAGTTCAGAGCCCCAGAACCCGTATCAAAAGCCAGGCACTGTCTGAGAGTGCCTGGGACCCCAGAGATAGAGAGGGAAAGGGAGAGAGGGAAAGAGGAAAAGAGAGAAGAGAGAGGATCTGCATGGAAGGAGCAGAAGGGGAAACACATGAACTTCCCTGGACTGAAACCCTAGCTTGGAACACAGACCACCCAGTGGGGCCCGAAGCTGGCTCCTTCTAAGCTATTCCTTGCTCTCTCCTCAATTTTTACCACCTCCTGTCATCTTCCACCCTCATCATGGTCATGTAACCAACATCCTCATGATCATATGATCAACATCAATTTCAACCTCATCCCTTTTGTCCCTTTCTCAGATCTACGGCTTCATACACTATAGGGGAGCACCGTGGCTTGTCCAGCCTTGCTGTTCATATGAGAAGCTTGGTCCTCCCCTCAGTCCTCCCCGAGCAGGCCCCCTGCCAAGACCAGAGCCACAGTATGCCTCCAACTCCAGGCCCCTAACACTAGGGCAATTGGTGGACTTTTGTACAAGGCTCATATCAATTCAGGGTTGCAGAAACTGCTCACTGGGAAAACGGTTGCCTTGAAAGCTTGAGGACCTGAGTTCTAATCCCCAGAATCCACATGAAAAGCTGAGTGTGCTGACACACATCTGCATTCCCAGCTGTGGTGGAGACAGACTGACACTCGAAAGCTGACACCTGTTCCGCTGATCTCCACAGTGCACTGTGCACTGACACACCTGTATAAACAATTTTGAAAATTAATTTTCAACTGGAGAGATGGCTCAGCGGTTAAGAGCACTGGTTGTTCTTCCGGAGGTCCTGAGTTCAATTCCCACCAATCATATGATAGTTCAGAACCATCTATAATGTCCTCTTCTGGCATGCAGAGTACAGAGCACTCTTCTACATAAGATACATAAATAAATATTTAAATTTGTAGGCTGGGCATGATGGCACATACCTTTAACCCCAGCACTCAGGAGGCAGAGGCAGGTGGATCTCTGTGAGTTTGGGGCCAGCCTGGTCTATATAATGAGTTCCAGGACAGTTAGGGCAATATAGAGAAAACCTGTCTCAAAAAAAAAAAAAAAAATTCTGATAATCATCTCCAAAGGTTCAGACTAGAACATCAAGCATGGAGCAGGGGTACAGGTTGGACTCCTCCTGCCTCTAAGCCAGTGGTTCTCAACCTGTGGGTTGTGACCCCTTTGGCAAACCTCTATCTCCAAAAATATTTACATCATGATTCATAACAGAAGCAAAGTTACATCTATGAAGTAACAACAAAATAATTTTATGCCTGGGTAAGATGTTCAATCTTCATTCAAAAAGGCAAACAGGATAGACATCAGAAGATGGAGAAAACAGGGAACAGGATAGGAGCCTCCCACAGAGGGCCTCTGAAAGGCTCTACCCTGCAAGGTATCAAAGCAGATGCTGAGACTCAGCCAAACTTTAGGCGGAGTGGAGGGAATCATATGAAAGAAGGGGGAGATAAAAAGACCTGGAGAGGACAGGAGCTCCACAAGGAGAGCAACAGAACCAAAAAATCTGGGCACAGGGGTCTTTTCTGAGACTGATACTCCAATCAAGGACCATTCATGGAGATAACCTAGAACCCCATGTAGCCCATGGCAGCTCAGTATCCAAGAAGATTCCCCAGTAATAGGAACAGGGACTGTCTCTGACATGAACTCATGGGCTCTTTGATCACCTCCCCCTAAGGAGGGACAGCCTTACCAGACCACGGAGGAGGACAATGCAGCCAGTCCTGATGAGACCTGATAGTCTAGGGTCAGAGGGAAGGGGAGGAGGACCTCCCCTATCAGTGGACTAGGGGAAGGGGCATGGGAGGAGATGAGGGAGGGAGAGTGGGATTGGGAAGGGATGGGGGAGGGGCTACAGCTGGGATACAAAGTGAATAAATTGTAATTAATAAAAATAAAATACTAATTAAAAAAGAAAACAAAATAAAAAGATAATTTTATGGTTGGGAGGTCACATCACTAGGAACTATATTAAGGGGTCGAAGCATTAAGAAGGTTGAGAACCACCACATAAACTCTGCGCTGTCCGAGCCTGCAAGACGGCTCACTGGGAAAAGGTGCTTGCTGCAAAGCCTGATGACTTGAGTTCTATGGCCAGGATCTATGGACTGGCTCCCAAAGTGGTCCTCTGACCTCCGCACGAGCACCACGATGTGCATTTATAAACCTTCACACGTACACAAACACACCACACACACAAGTGAAGATAAAGCCCTCTGTCCTACCTCAGAGGACTAGGGTATCCTGAATACAATAGGTATTTAATATTTGCTTAATTTGAGGGGAGAAGAATGGAGATATGGAGATGAGAGGTTATTTAGGAGCCACTGGTAAAAAAAAATGTGGGAGTGAGAATCCGAAAGAGGAGAGAAGCCATATTCTTGCTCTTCAGTTGAGGGGCAGTGGCTGTGTGAGGTGGGCTGCTGCGTTGCTGTACCCAGGAACTCAGTCCACAATCAAGGGAGGGGCTCAGGAGGACCCTAGCTTCAGAGGAAGTGTTCCATCCTACAGAGGGCTGAGTATGTGGGGTACCCCCTCCTGCCCCCAGCCTTACTCACCCAGACCTGTCCCAGGCTGGACCCAGGTCACCAGCAGCAGCAGCAATGAAGGCAGTTTCCCTTGGAACCCCATGGCTGGGCTGAGCTCCCAGCTGCTGTCCTTCCTCCCGGAGCGGTCTGCAGGGCAGCCCCAGCTACTTTGTCTGGGCTGGGCTGCCGCTTAGGGGTGACCCTTCCCCCCACACAACTGGTTGGACAGGTTCAGGGGCTGAGTCTATAGGCTCTGGGGGTTTCAGCATCACCAGGGATGGGTCTGAAAAGAACAGAACAATGAGGGAGAAGAGCCAGGACATCTGCACCCCACTCCAAGAGGGCCTGGGAGGGACAAGGTATGAAGTAGGCAGCAATGGGTGTGGGCTGCCCCATAAAGGTCCCGCCTTACCTGTCTTGGGTCCTGGCCATTAGGACACCTCACAGTCTGCTTGTGAGAAAAGAAGTCCCTTTATTTTCTAGACAAGGCACACAGAAGATAGGTGTCCCTCCAAGATCATCCAAGCTAAAGGGCAAAACCTTGAGGTGGTTCCAGCAAATGTCATCTATCCTCTCTCTCTCTCTCTCTCTCTCTCTCTCTCTCTCTCTCTCTCCACACACACACAGAGACATACAGACACACACATACACACACACATTTTCAGATAGAGTCTATAAGCTGGCCTCAAACTCAGTATATAGCCAAGGATAGCCTTGAACTCCTGATCCTCCTTTCTGGGATTACAGGAAAGCATCATCACAGCAAGTAAGTCAAGATGATAGGTAGACTGATGATGGATTAATTGATTAATAGATGGATAAATATAGAAATAGTTATGGATAGATGATAAATAGAGGAAGGATGGCTAGCTGGAGATAGATAGATAGATAGATAGATAGATAGATAGATAGATAGATAGATACATACATACATACATACATACATACATACATACATACATATGTAGATAGATAGATACATAGATAGCCAGCCAGCCAGCCAGACAGACAGACAGACATAGATAGGCTTAGGTGTAGCTCAATGATAGACTTCTTTCCTGGCATGTGTCTGGCTCTGGTTTCCTTCCCCAGCATCACAAATGTATGTGTGTGTTTGCGATATACATACTCCATACACACATATCATACGGAATCTCTCTCTCCCTGTCTGAAAAATAAGTTGGCAGCAGTCATCAGAACAAGGAGTCAGATATAGGTTTTGCCTCACACCTATAATTCCAGCCCTCAAGCAGTCAGCCCTCAGGGCAATCGGGAGTTCAACGTCATCCTCGGTACTAGCCAGCCTGGGCTACAGCACACCCCATCTAAAAACAAATAAGACATGGCGGGGATGGGGGGGCACTCCTTGCATGAGCATGTTCTTGCTCATCTCTCAGGCCTCGTGATTAATCGTATCACGCGATGAGGAGATGGCTCCGACAGGAAGGTTAACTCTTGCAACCTCATAGCGGCTCAGCCGTGGCTCTGCTGTCCAGCACTCAGGCAGGCTGCCGCTCACTTCCCTTCCGTGTCTAACTCAAGGCGAATGGTTCATTTCTGTCTCTTCACGTTCCGTCTCCATTCCACTCCTGCATACTGCCGCGGCTCAGCAGACATCCTTGTATCGGCTCCCTATCACGGCACAAGTGATCCCGGAACTGAGAACTTAAAACCGTAGACACTTCTTTTTTTTCTTATGTGTGTGTTTGTTATTTATTTTCCCATATGTATATGTATAGCGTGTGTGCATGTGGTCACATACATGAACAGAAGTGCTGAGATTACGGATGTCTCCCCTTTTTGACCCACCCTGCTGCGTACCTTTGGGGGTGACTCACAAGGTAGGTGTGGCTCCCCACTTGCTATCTCCTCATACAAGTGAAATAGTTAAAGACTCTCAGAGACTCACCCATTTCTGGGTCACCAAACAAAGACTCAGTGCCATGGCAACTATCACACCCATGATCTGAGGAGGCACAGGGGAAACTGTGTGCCTCCAAGGGTTGACAAGGCTTGCCTCACACCCTCCAAAGAGAAGGGGTTAAGGGCTTTGCTTGTGCCCAGAGAGAAAAAGCACTGAGCAATCAGTGTCCTACCCGACCCCAAGCCCTGGTCAGTTGGGAAATGCTCCTGAGTTCCTCAACTTCACCCAAGTCTTGAGTCTCTCTACTACAAGATGGCTCAAGCCCTACCTGTTCTGCTATGTATCTCTCATGACAAGCAGCTCATCGCCTCCAAAGTCCCTCCAGAATCTTCTGCACCACCATAAACTAGGAAGCACTTTCTCATCAGGCTCAGCAGTGAAACACCTGCCTACAATCTCCCAGTGAGGGGCTGGGAGAGTCTACCCCTCACTGGGGGCTTTTAGGCAGGGGCTCTACCACTGAGCCACACCCCCAGCCCCTCACTGGGGGATTCTAGGCAGGTGCTCTACCACTGAGCCACACCCCCAGCCCCTCACTGGGGGATTCCAAGCAAGGGTTCTACTTGTAAGCAACACCCCAGCACTTCTTCACTTGCAAATTCTACCTAGGCGTTCTTCATTGAGCCATGCCCTTACCCTAAAAGATGATATATTATCACAAGCAACAATGAGGACAACATCCTTCAGACTCTTCTACTGTAGCCTAGGAGAGCTTCAAGCTCTTCCTTAGCCTCCCAAGTGCTGAGATTACAAGCATGAGCCTTCAAACCCAGCTCACCTTCCTGCTTTTTATTGCGTCTGCCTTAACCCACACAGCCCCAGTACACATGGAAGACTTCACAATTGCCCAGATACTTGAGGTAGCTTTAGGGCAGTCTAGGCCTTGTCCCAGGCTATCTCTCCTTCCTACTTTACTGTCAAGATTTTTGCTTACTTTTTATTCTGTGCCTATGTCTGTGTCCTGGGGGTTGTGGGTGGGTCTGCGCTCCTGAGTGCAGGCGCCCTTCAAGGTGGGAGGGCTCAGACCCTCACCATGCTGGAGTCCCAGGTGTAAGCCACCACATGTGGGTTTTGGGAACCAAACTTAGATCCTCAGCAGGGCAGATGTTGCTCATAAGGGGTGAGCCACCTCTCCACACCCCCTACCTTGTTTTCTTGACCTGCATGGTTTTGGTTTTGTTTGTTTTGTTTTTATTTTGGTTTGGTTTCTCAAAACATTATTTCTCTGTGTAGTCCTGGCTGTCCTAGACTGGCTTTCTAGACCAGGCTGGTCTCGAACTCACTGCCTGCCTCTGTCTCCAGAGTGCTGGGACTACAGGCATGGGATACCTCACCCAGCTTGACCTACACTTTCATACCCCATTCATGCAGCTGGTTGAGGCTCTCACCGAATCAGCAATGACACCCAGCTCCCACCTCTCCTCCCTCCACACTCACGCTAATCCCCAGCTCCCACCCCCACCCTGGGTCAGGTGCCTCACCTGCGCTCCCACTGTGGCTCATGCTGTCCCCGTCATAGCACCCCTCCCCAGCACTGGGATTTCTAACCTAGGGTTCCTCAGAGATATGTGGAGGACCAGTTCCCTCCCCGCTACTCCCAACTACTTCCACTGCCTGGGACATAAGTGGGGTTCCAGGCACAGGGGCTGAGGGCCCAAGCCAAGCCCAGTGCTGTGTGAAACACTTTGAGGAACGTGGGTTATTTTCAATGAGGAGCCCAGGAGTAGGGGACCGGAGCCAGAAAGGGAGGGGTGATTGATAGGACGTTCGTGCCTCTTAGTCCCTCACTGGAGGGAAGCCAGTCTGAAGAATGATTGTGTTTTCTTTCTCCAGGGCCTCTGGCCTGGACCACTCACAAGAAGTAGAGTTTGAGAGGCCAAGAGTGCAGTAGGGGGTGCCAAAGGGCCCTCGGCACCTTCTGCATTGATTGTTCACCTCCCAGAGGGGAAACCGAGGCCAGAAGAGCTGGGCAGAACTTCCTGGTGGGGCTAACACAGCAAATGAGGCACAGAAATGGGGGTGGGGGTTCCTGTCTTGCTCCCAGGGCTCACTTCACGGGACTCACGGACATTTAGGCTGGGACACGCAACGAGGGGTGGAGGAGAGAAACAGGGTCAGGGGTACAGGTCAATAGCTCTGGCTTTTCTCTTCTTCATCTTCGTCTTCTGTTGTTGTTGTTTTGTTTTTGAGACAGGGTTTCTCTGTGTAGCCTTGGCTGTCCTGGACTTGCTTTGTAGACCAGGCTGGCCTTGAACTCACAGAGATCCACCTGCCTCTGCCTCTCTGAGTGCTGGGATTAGAGGTGCGCACCCCCATGCCTTGCAGCTCTGGCTTTTCTAACTCTTCCTGTCTGACCTCTGCCCTCTAAGCCCTCATCCACAGCACATACTCACATGTCTTCTCTTTTATTTTTCTTTCCTTTTCTTTCTTTCTTTCTTTTTAAAAAAAAAAAAAAAAAAAAAAAAAAAAAAAAACAGGGTCTTATTCTACAGCCCAGGCTGACCTAGAAATTGAGGTAACCTTCCTCGTTAGCCTCCCCAATGCTGAAATTATAGGCATGTCTTCAAAAATATTTTAAAATTATTATTTTGTTCAATGACCATGGGGTCTCCTAAGTGTACGCATATACGCTCTACACACGATGTGTGCCCAGTGCCTCTGAGAGCCGGAAGGAGGCATCAGATCCCCTGGAACTGGAGTTAGAGATGGTTGTGAGCCACCACATGGGTGCTTGGAGTCAGATCAGGGTCCTTTGAAGCAGCCAGTTTTCTTAATCACGGTTCCACACACACACACACACACACACACCCAGACCCTAAAACAGCTTTTATTGCATTTGTTTATCGTGTGTGTGCACGGAGGAAGGGCGCTGTGCGCACGCCGCAGCACACGTGTGGAGCTCACGGGACAACTTTCAGGAGCTGGTTCTCTCTTTCCCCCGTGGGGGTTCGGGGGCTGAATCTTTGTCCTTGGCAGCAAACGCCTTTCCCAGCAGATGAGAGAGGGAGGGCGTCGCCTGAGGTCTGTTCCCACCCTGTGTCCTAACAGCTATGCTCTGCTGACTGATGAATCATGGTGCAAGCATGCCCCACCTCACCCCCAATCCTGGCTGTTTTTCCTTTTTCACAAAGAACTTGTTTTTGACTGATGAGCCATGAAGGTATGGGCCAATGGGTGTCATGGCACTTCCTTATATAGAGTCCTCCAGGATCATTTAATAAAAAGCTCTTGGCACTAGGGACATAGCTCAATAGTAAAGCAACTGCCCCAGTGAGGGGCTGGCAGTGTGGCTCAGTGTAGAGTACCTGCCTAGGATGGGGGCAGATGCTGAGTATAACCCTTAACAGCACAATAGAGTAATAATAAATACATAAAGTTCTTTGCATTGGGTATGGTGGCAACACTTGGGAGGTGGAGGCAGGAAAATCACAAATTGGATGCCAGCCTGGGTTACATACCAAGACCCTGTCTCAAAGAAATACAAGGAGGAGGAGGAGGAAGAGGAGGAGAGAGCAAAAGCAGGTGTGGTAACCCACACCTTTAACCCCAGCATTCAGGGGGCAGTGGCATTCAGGGCTCTCTGAGTTCTAGGCGGGCCTGTTCTACATAGTGAGTTCCAGGCCAACAAGGCCTACAGAGTGAGACATTGTCTCAAAACAGCAAAACCCAAAACAAACAAGCAAAAACCTTCCCAACCCGGTTGGCAGTAGGTCCCCGCAGCGCCGGGGACTGGCCGGCGGGTCTGTTGTGTGGAGCTCTGGGGCAGAACGTCCCTCCACAGCTTGTCGGGGTCCCAGCACAGCATCTGTTCTGGGCAGAGCCACTGGACTCTGTGACACCTCCACCGGCATAGCCTAGGGCAGGAGATCAGCGATGGGTGGTGCCAGCAGCGGCCTCCAGACGACCTGCCATAGGAATCCATCTCCAGGAAGCGTTAGCGATTTGCCAACACCCTCATGCCATTGACTGGCAATGAAAGCAACATTTCACGGCTGAACGGGAGCTGCTGGTGGCTCTCCTCCAAGCTCTCACATCGTTCCTTAGGCAGTTTCCTCGCTCCTGTGTAATCCCACCATGGAGTCGAGTCCTGGCAGGGCCGGGGAAGACCCAAGGAGCAGCACTGAGGCTGTGAAATGAGCACCTGTGAGGTTGGGATGTGCTTTCGAGGCCAGTTTTACATTTTTATTTATTTTCATTGCTCTAGACAGGGTGTCTTAGGGTTGCTATTGCTGTGATGAGACACCACGATCAAAAGCAAGTTAGGGAGGAAAGGGTTTATTCAGCTAACACTTCTATATTGCTGTTCATCACCAAAGGATGAACAGGACAGGAGCTCAAGCAGGGCAGGATCCTGGGGGCAGGATCCTGGAGACAGGAGCTGATGCAGAGGCCATGGAGGGTGCTGCTCGCTGGCCTGCTCATTCTGCTTTCGCACAGAACCCAGGACCACCAGCCCAGGGATGGCACCACCACTCATTGAGAAAATGCCTTGCAGCTGGATCTCATGGAGGCGTTTTCTCAATTGGGCTCCCTCCTCTCTGATAACTCCAGCTTGGGTCAAGTTGACACATAAAACCAGCCAGTACACAGGGTCTCCCTAGGTCACTCTGTCTGCATGAAACTTGCTATGTAGACCAGGATGGCCTTGAACTCAGAGATACACCTGCCTGTCCCCCTGTCCCTGCCCCTGCCCCTGCCTTCTAAGTACTGGGCTTAAAGGTGTGTGCCATACTTGGCTCAGTTTTTTACAAAATCTTTTCACTTCTGTGTGCGCGCGTATATATGTGCGAGCCTATGTGTGTTCCAGGGCACAACTGTGACACACGTGTGTCCGTGTGCATGCCTTTGTGCTTGCGGTTACCCAAAGATACCATAAGAGAACTGACTCCCCTGGGGCTGGGGTTGCAGGCAGTGTGAGCTGCTGATGTGGGTGCTGGGAGCCACTGTTGGGCCTCATGGAAGAACTGCAAATACTCTAAGTGCTGCTCGTCTCTCCACCTTTCGAGCTGCTACTGTTCTGCAGGGGGGAGGGGCGCGGGTGGCGCCCCTGTGTACATACGGAGGTCAGACGCCAACTCTGTGAGCGTCTTCTCTCCTTCCGTCTTTGCTTGGCTTCCCAGGATCAAACTCAGGCCTCCTAGCAAATGACTTCCACTGTCTGAGTCATGCTGCGTACACTTCATGGCCAGTCACTTCAAGTAAGTGCGTACACTTCAAGTAAGTAGAGTGCTGTGCCGATGTGCTGGGAACTTGGTTGATTTTAAAGCTCTCCATCTTCTTGCCCCTTTCCTCTGAAGGGACTAGGAAGAGGGAGGAGCCCCAGGAAACTAGTGCATGGTTAACTTTCGGCTTCCTTTGCTCCCTCTGGCTTGGGACCCAGGGCAACAGGGAGGGGCCTAGTTGTCTGTGAAGAAAAGGTATTGGTTTACTTTATGTGCTTGTGTAGTTTTAAAACGAAATTTAAATTTATTTATTTATTTTGTATGTATGTTTGCGGGCATGTGTGTGCCAGTGAGTGGAGGACAGAGGACAACTTTTGGGAGTTTCTTCTCTCCTTCTACCATGTGACCAAACTCGGGTTAACAGGTTTAGTGGCAAGTGCCTTCACCCAAGAAGCCATCACTGGCTGGTATCTTTGTTGATGCTGGAACAATTCAGGCGGCATGTAAACTGCCCCTCAGTTACTGGCAACACCTTCATGAAACTAGAACAACGACTGAAAAGTCTCCGGACTGGGGAGATGGCTTGGCAGTCAAGCACACTGGCTGCTCTTGGTTCATTCCCCAACACCAGCATGGGAGCTCACAACTGTCTGTAGCTCCAGTTCAGGGCATCCAGAACCCTTTTCTGGTCTCTGTGGGCTCCAGCACAAATGCGGTACACACAGACATGCAGGCAAAGCGGTACACACACACAGATGTGCTGGCAAAGCAGTCATACACGTAAAACAAATAAACCTTTGAAAACAATTTTAAAAGAAGGCTGTGTTGCTTTCTAAAGGGGTTGAGGGAGGCATTCTCAGGGTGATGTCCTGCATGCTGGTCGCTCCAGAAGTTGAGGAAGGAGAATTCCAGGCCAGTGCAAGCTAACACACCCAGAACCTGTCTCAGCTGCACTTGGTGGTCAGGCCTGTAATCTCAGCACACAGGGAGGCAGAGGCAGGCGGATCTCTGTGAGTTCAAGGCCAGCCTGGTCTACAAAGCAAGCCCAAGACATCCAAGTCTACATAGAGAAACCCTGTCTCAACACACACACACACACGCGCGCCTCAGAACTCCTTTTTCCAGGAATCTGCTGGAACTCTGAATGGGATGTGTGTGTATTTAGTTTTGTGTTTTTGAGGTGGTCTCAAACTTTGTGTATGTGAGAACGATCTTTAACTCCTGATCCTCCTGCTTCCATTCCATCTCCTGAGTGCTAGTCTCAGAATCACAGTAATTAAAAGAAAAAAAAAAGATTACACTAATTCTCGTGCTTCAGGGCCCCCACTCCTCCGCTCCCCCCCCCCCCCCCCATGTGTCCCTTCCCATTTTCTTTTCATTTCCGGCTTTGTAGAGCTTGCAAATGCATACTCGCGCCCCCGTGTGGCGGCGTGAGGAACCACAAGAGCCTTTGCAAAAGCACCTAGACCAAGCCAGAGCACCAGGATCCCAAAGTCTGGGGACCTTTCTCTAGTCCAGCTGATCCCTGAGCCCTGGGAGGATTCATTCATTCACCTGAAAAATAAAAATCTGATGCTTATCTTGTGTTCGCGGAGGGCGGGGGCGGGGGCGGCGAGCACTTGTGCCTTATTCATGGAGGTCGGGGTCAGAGGAAAACTTGCCAGAGCTGGTTCTCTCCTCCCACCTGGGAAGAACTTAGCCTACTTGCTCGCAAGTGCCTTGCCCTGCCGGACCGTCTCTGCAGCCCTTCATTCATCCTTTGACTTAGCAAATACCAGTGGTGCATGGAAACTGGGAGGGGTGCTGGGACGAGTTGATGGGGCGAGGGTAGGGGTGAGGGTGACGCTCTCTCTGTCCACACTCAATATCTCTCTAGCCGCGGGACAGCATCTGGCTGGGTGTGGCTTCCATCTACACCTCCAGGGGTCACCTGGATGCAGAGGGCGTGGCAGGACGGCGGACAGGACTCAAAAACAGGGAGCCACTGGCTTGATAAAAATCTGCCACTGAAGCGTGGGACAGCGGCTGGGGCCGCTTGGTCCTGAAATGAGTGGGTCGCTCTGTTACTCCAAAAACACAAGTCGGCGGCGACCAAGGGGTGCACAACAGTCGGCGCCAAGACCACATGCTGCTGTCGCAGAGCCTGCGTGAGTAACAATCCTGCCACAGTGACATTTATTAACTTCTAAGAGCTTGATCACACAGGGGGACGTGGGGCAGGGTAGCTGGACAGGGGCGAACAGTCGATGAGCCTCAGGTGTCGCCATCAAAGATGGCTTGGTAAGTCTGAGGGCTTGGCCTGACTGAGGTCGGGAATACATTCCCCCACGCCTGACCCCTGAAAGGGCAGCGCAAAAAAAAAAAAAAAAAAGACAAAACAAAAAAACCCGCCAAGGATTGGTGGTAAACAGATGCGCATGCGCCGGCCCTGCTGCCACGTAGTTAAAGTCCCATCAGCGTTGTCTCGTGGGGCACATAATGGCAGGTACGCAGGTACGCAGTACATGGCGCGGCGTGAACAGGTAAGCGTGTGAACCATCTCTCTGTGTGGAGGGTCTGGGAAAGGTAGCCGAGCTGTCGTTCATAGCCATTTACCTTCTCCAGCCTTCACGCTGCTGAGGACCATCCTCAGAAAGATCGAGGTTCCTGGCTGTCACACCACGGGCCCAGCCCAACCTCCTCACTGTAGCAGAGCCAGGCATTGTCTGAGGTTGTTCATTTTTTGCTCTGTGTTGTTGTCATTGGTTTGGGGTTTTCTGTTTGTTTTTTGAGAGGGGCTCCTGCTATATAGCCCAGGCTAGCTATATAGCTATGGAGCACATGACTTTTCTACATCCTAAGGGTGAGAATCACAGCCTTGGGCTACCACACTTCCCTCCTCCTGGGTCCTCTGAAGTCTGGTCAAGGTCAGGATGGTCTGTCCACCTCCTCCAGCCTGTAATTGTTTTTTGAGACAGGGTTTCTCTGTGTAGCCTTGGCTGTTCTGGACTCACTTTGTAGATCAGGCTGTCCTCAAACTCACAGAGATTTGTCCTCCTCTGCCTCCCAAATACTGGAATTAAAGGTGCGTACCACCCCAGCCTGGCCTTCCTCCAGTCTTATATGAAGGAGGCTAAGTAAAACCCTAGCTGACCTTGACCATCTCCAAATGCACTTACAGACAGAAGCAGAAGATAAAACAGCCGGGAAGATAGAAGGGGCCGTGAAGATGCAAGACACACACACCACCACCGCACAAGGCCTGTGTGCCTGCTCTCTGCCCCTCACTGTAGGCCAGGCTGCAGAGACCAGGCTATGGGCTGAGCCTGGGAAGGGGGTCCAGGCCAGGCTCACAGCCCACAGGCAGTGTAGCAGCCTCACTGGGGGGGATATGGTGAGTCATGTAACGTTTGCCCGTGAAGGAGCCAATCCGCAGATGCTCAGGGGCTTCCTCGGCCCACCATAGGCTGGAGCTGCATGTGAAAGAAAGTGGGAGAGGCAGGCAAGTTGCTTCCCTGTCTGGAGGCTGCGTGTCCCCTTCCCCGCACACTCATGCCTCAGCCCGTCCCCTCACCTGGCCCCCCTTTTTATTTGGTACAAGAAATGTTTAATGTGCATGCGCATGGGGACATATGTGTGTGTGGAGGCCACAGGTACAGCTCTGTACCTTATCTTTAAAGAAATTATCTGTTGGGGACAGGGCACATGCGCGGGTGGGGGCAGGCGGCAGAAGGCAGTTCACAGAGTTCCTTCTCTCTTCCACCACGGCTCCCGGAGATCATCAGGCTTGGCGGCAAAAGCCTTTCCCCACTGAGCCATCCCACCAACATAGCCTATCTTTTTGAAGACAGGGTCTTTACCTATAACTCTAATGACCGGCTGGCCATGGGTTCAAGGCACCCACCTCCCCTGCCACCATGGTTAGGCTACAGACATGAACAACCACATCTGGCTTTCATACGGGTGCTGGGGGATCTGATCTCAGGTCCTTGCTTGAGCAGCGGACCTTGAACTTCTTATGCTGTCCCCCACCCCCAGTCCCTCTTCCCTCTGCTTTGGAGCCGGCTGGAGAGGCACCTCTTCCGGGTTCACCCCGACTTACCTACATCAGTGGCAGTTACCAAGACACTCCAGGGGCTCGTGAAGAAAACACAAAGCCCTGGCAGAAGGCACAGCCCCCGACCCTGGCCCCAGATGAGCTGCTACAGCATCTGCCTGCCACCCAGGTGGCAGATGCAGCGTGGGAATTCCCTCCTCTCTGCCTGGAAGGGCGTCAGCCACCTCAGCAGAACTCATGAGAGGCTTCCAGGATTCAGAGAGCAGAACAGGGAAGGGGTTCGGGGTGGAAAGGGGGCCTGTGCGGTGCCATCACTCACAGTTGAATAGTGGAGGCTGCCAGGAAAGCCAGGAGCAAGAGGCCGGCCAACGCAGAGAGGATGGAAGTGATGACAATCATACAGCCGCTCCGCCGACCGGGCCACGTGTCGATGGAGCTGGGAGCCTTGCCTGCACACGTAGGAACCATTCAGAGGCCAGCCATTCATCCACAGACTGTCTGTCCTCCCCACTCAAGTTCAGCGCACTGCCTGATGGCCCCCAGAGTGTCCTGAGCCCCACCAGCCCGGATCAGCCACTGTCCCAACCTCTACCACTGGACTTGCCTTCTGGACTTTTCCTTCGTTCCCTACCACGAACATCAGGCAGATCTCAGTGCTAGGCCCTTACCTGCTGCAGGGTGGGACTGGATGTCCTGCCCTCTACCTAGGGGGGTGGGAGTCTTTCCTCTCCCAGAGGGCCTTCACTGTCTAATCCAGACATTCAGGTTCCTCTGGCCCTGTTGCCCCTTTTGCCCTTGCCCTTCTCTCTCCCCTTCCCTTCGCCCCTTTCTTCCCTCCCCCTTGTCTCTTTCTCTCTCTTCTCTCTTCTCCCCTCTTTCTGCATACTCTTTCCCTTTTCTCTCTCCCTCCCCCCACACCCACAAGGCTTCCAGTAAACCTGCATTTATATAATATAGCCTCATCTCACCATTAGCTCATTCCATTTTACTTAATCAATCACTCAGGACCCACCCGCCTTGTCACTGCCTTGGTCCCTACAGCCTGGCATTGAAGGCCTTCAGATAACAGTCATCTGTCACCCCACCCAACTGCCTTGGTAGTCTGTCTCTAAGGCAACTGCCACCCAACACTGGCCCCTAGGTGGAGGGTAATGCTTGAGCCCTTCTCCCTGCCTGCAGTAGAGAGGACCTGGTGCTGATGAGGCTGGGGCCAAGCAACCCAAGCAAGGGTTGGTGGCTGACAAGATGGAACTGGTGGAGCACACCTGTGATCTCAGCTACTTGGGAGGAGAAGGCAGAGGATCTCAAGTTGCAGGCTATCCTGAGCCACAGAGCAGATTCAAAGCTAGCTCGGTCAACTTAGACCCTATCTCAATATAGAAAGTAAAAAGAGGCCTGAGAATGTACTTCAGTGGTAGAGCACCTGCCTAGACCCCCCCAGTGAGGGGCTGGGGTGTGGCTCAGTGGTAGAGCACCTGCCT